TGCACAAACTACACAATCGGCTATCAAATGCATTTTAATGACATCAGCAGCTTGCATTAAAGTTAGTGTCACTTTGGTCGATTTTCCATTGCAATATCCCAAATTTTGAGCGTTAAGTAATCCCGTGAGAGAATATATCGTCCATCTTTACTGAATTTTACATCAGAAATGGATGAAATAATCTCGGAAAAGAAGGACTTATTGGCTGGATCCTCTTGCTCTTCAAACACTAATAAAGTATTGATCGAAAAATTATAATCTAGAAAATCCATAAATTTTTTTAAAATAAATCAACATTTCCCACATACGCTTTGCGTGTTGATCACAAAGAGCTGCTGCTCGCATATCGCTTAGTTTTATCGTCCCCTTACTGCTGCTATACATGAAGAGATTACAGTGGACCGGGTGAAATTCCGCGGCTGTAATAACTTCTGTCAGTTCTTCCATATTTACTGGCTTAATATCAACAATATCTATGTTTATAAATCCATTAGAGAATTTATATGTAGATATTTCAATTAATTTCTTGATTAATGCGCATAAGCATTCTTACATAAAAAGTAAAAAAATGCGTACTGAAACTCTGATCGCTAATATTCAAATTCCATAAATTAATTCTTAAATCATCAGCAGATATATAGGTTTCTCCGTCAGAATTAATAGATATAGAATTGATATGGTATGCATGAGCATTAGCATACACTTTCCGTGGGACTGCGGCAATGATGGTGTCGTGGTGAGTAAGCTTTGGCAATTTTAAATTCGAAAGTTGGCCATTTGAAGGTCGCAAACCATCACTCAGGTTATTTTCTGCCACTACTTTCAAGGATTTCTCAAATACTTTCCAAAGTTTGATAGTCTTGTCTTGAGGATTATTTAGGAAGATAAACATATTATTGATTTAGTAATTAAATTTATAAATTTTCATGTTATCTGCACATTATTTACCATTGGTTGATAACAAGAAATGTGCTGCATTCTGTCGTTTGCACCATTTGATTTTATTAATTTTCTCTTCAATTTCCAAACTCTTTAGGTAATCAAATTCAGGTTCATGCGATTGAAACTCCGTATAGAATTTGTATTCGCAGCCTTTTTTCTTTATTGATAAGAGAAAAGTAAATTTGTTATATGAAAATTCATGAAAGCGAGTTAACTCTATATTTATAATTATGAAAATTACCCCATCATTACGTTCAAATAACACTACTCTGCCTCCCTTGTCACCAGTAGCTAGGTAATCACCAGTATGGTCAAATTCCACCGTTGAAATAATGTCAGCTGCGTATGGGAAATATAGATATCAGACCTATAGGATCACTGGTACAAAAATGAAAAGCAATATCAAATGATTCACTATCTGGCACTGGAACACGATCGCGGCCAAGAACAAGCCTTTGCCGTGCTGCCCAAGCAAAGACACCGATTCTTCTCACAAAGTGAAACTTTTAATCGGTGCATAAATAGCTAGTTGCCAGCCCTATAAAGCTCCTAATACTAGCCAAGATGAGCTTGGGGGCCATACAAGAGAGTGATATAAATTCTTGGTACCACCTTGACCGTCTGTCTGTTTCTTCAACAGACAAAAGATCTTGATCGTTCTTTTGCCCTAATTCTCGAAAAGTTTCGAGGAATATTACCTTCTGTGATGTCTTCGACTTCACCTTTGTCACCAAAGCATTGGGCGAATTTCCAACCATTATTATCCACTTCGGCCATTTCAATCGTTATTGTGTGTTACCAGTTGAAGAAAAAGGGAGAGTGATAATTATAATAAAAACAAGTTTGGAGAATTAGATAAAACGGTTATTCGTGTGTAGTTGCGCAACCAGGATATGCCGGGCGTTATGATAAGATGGATGTATTCCTGTGGATGGATGGGAAGTCGTCAACAAAACGTCGTGGCGTTTCTTGGGTCTTTTCCGGGCGTGATAGGTATTGAAATTTGAGGATAATGATGGCCTCATCGCCCAAAGTGACACTAACTTTAATGCAAGCTGCTGATGTCATTAAAATGCATTTGATAGCCGATTGTGTAGTTTGTGCA